ACGACCATGCCGAAGAATCACTGGTCCACTGCCGAATATCCTTCCAACAAGCACAAGAAGTGTGGAATAAAACAAAAAACCTATAGCAAAAGCTAACGAACCAAAATCTCCCCAGCAATCCACTGTACCTGCTAACGGGAAGACCGGAAAGTGAAGAACTAGAAGAAGCTGCAGTGTTACTGGCGGACTTATGGAGGAAAGCAACGCTCTGGGCAATCTGGAAAGCAAGGTGCAAAGGCACTCTTGAAGGACAATCGTCATCCTTAGAAGAGAAATGGGGGGAAATAAAGAGCATAATACAATCAGAAGTAAGAGCACGCTGGATCAAAGAGCAAAAGGAACAACAGAAGATAATAATACCAGACAAAAAGGAGCTGAGTCTGGAAAAATTTAAAAGAACATGGCTTTTGGAGAACAGAATCGCAAAAATAGATGGAGGTACTCTACTCTTCACAAACTGGGACTAACAACAAGAAAGGCTTTACCTAATTCTCAGCCACCCACTGCTTTTACACATCCTCGGACTCGACTAAACACGCCCCTACACGTTCTAACCTTCGACTCAATGTAGTTGGCTCCTACCTTCACCAACACGTTCTAACACACATCCCCATTAAAAGAATTAGAAGGATGCAGTGACTGATCGCACACAAACCTCTTCAAGCGAACTAATGTCTGCACACTTTACAGAAAGCCGTGGACCCGACTAGCCTAAAGCCATCATCAGCCTGTACTGAATGAGTGACAGAGGAGGTGGATCATTGTTTACTGGTGGGTAAAGAGATGATAGAATAACTGGACGAGAGCCTCTTCACTCCGGGTCTCCCTGCTCACGTCTCCCTTCCCTGTTCAACCCACTCAGCTGTTTCCCCTTGACTAACATCCCGAATCAGACACAAAAGACAGAAGGGACCAGTGCTCTATTCATCAGGAAAGTGCCCCTGTGGGGCAGATGGAAGGAGAAATGCAGCAGAACAACTGAAGGACGGTCCAACCCAAGGGAGAAAGCGCAGACAGAAACCAGAACAACGATTCAAGCTGAGACCCTATGCAGACAGTGGAAGTTCAAACAAATCGGGACAGAGAGGGAAGAACAACACTAAAAGGAGAGGGAGACCTTGTATAAGAATTGGCTGGAATAAGGCAATGATGTTTATTTGCGTCAACACTAATTGGAGGGAAGAACAACACTAAAAGGAGAGGCAGACCTTGTATTTGCGTCATGCTGGAGAAGTTGGCACAGTACTCCAGAAAGACACGCTCAACAACAGACAACGTTGGAAGGCATATTCACATCATTGGTCGCAAATGAAGGTACACAACCCTCAAGAGACCCAGAGGGTACAGACAAAGAGGCAACGTGGGGAAAGCAGGACAATTTGGGGAGTACGACTACATCAGAGCAAGAACGAGGGCTACAAAGAAGGATTTCATCACAGAAGTCCGGAAGCAAACGAAGCCCTGTCGGGTCCAAAGGTGGGAAGATCGGAAGATACGACCACAGGCGAAAGTGTTAAGGTTTAGGGACAGATCGTGGACCATCCAAAAGGGCAGGGAGATGAGTGGGGAGGGAACAGGTCGACAAGGACAACGGATGAGCTCTTTCTTGGTTCAAGGGTGTTATCTGGCAGATCTGGTACCCAGGTCTGAGAGGAAAGAGAAGGGATAGGGCGAGCTGACAGTCAATTCTCCATTGCAGTGGAGCAATCAATGCTGTTTAGGGGGTCCTTCGGCCTGACGGAAGGAAGCGTGTGTGAGTGTTTCTTGATGTAATGTACTTTCGACTTGCTGGTGGAATAGGAACCGGACTGACGCTCCCCAGAATAGATGGAGCCAGGACCATAAGGCCCTGTTTTCAAAAAAAAAAAAAAAAAAAAAGAACATCCGGAAAAGAAGCATGTTGTACAAATTGCAATGAAAGCAAAGTTTTTTTTTTTTTTTTAGTTCGATGGCTCCGATCTCTTTGTGGGGAGCTGCACCTGCTGGAAACCGGGTCCAGCGTCCCTCAGAACAACAGATATTCAACAGAGACAAAAGTTCAAAACTTTTCATGTAGCCAGTTTGGATAGAGCACATAGACCTCTTCACCTATTCAGGTGCCAGACCACATAGACCTCTTCACCTATTCAGGCGCCAGATGCTTAGTTCTACGCTAGCCTGTGTAAATCCAGGGAACAAACTGGCAGATGAAATCAAGTAGGATCATTGTAGTTGCCACTTGGCTTCTTCAGGAAGATCTCATTGTCCTAGAGCCCAATCTCTCTTCCACTCGTAGGTGCAGAGCAGGGAGCCGAGGCATCCTCTGTCTCTGCTCTCTCTCTCTCTCTCTCTCTCTCTCTCTCTCTCTCTCTCTCTCTCTCTCTCTCTCTCTCTCTCT